GTGTGTGTGTGGGTGCGTGCGTGCGTGCGTGCGCGGGGGAGAAAAAATAAAAGATGGGAGTTTTGATTTTTATCACAATAAAAATCAAAATGGATAATTTTAACTTCTATCCTCTGTTTTTTGTTTCGGTGTCCACTTGTTTGTGTTTTAAAAAAATGGCAAACGGTGACGGTGACCGTAGATAAAAATGTGGCTGAAGCTTCGAGGCCTTTTCTCGTAAATGTGTGTATTGTTTTTTTTAGGAAATAACTGCCAAACTACAGCGGGGGTTTCCTCGGGTTTCTATTGCTACTAAATCTTGATTTGTAACCTTTGCCATTGAAGCGTTTGCTCGTCTGTTTTTTGTTTGGGGGGGCTTTTCAAAAACCCAGAATATGTATTTTAGGTGGAGAAAAGTCAGCACTAAAGTTTGCTGACAATCCCAGCAAAGATGCTCTATACCCGGCATGCAAACAATAAAAAACTGGTTCCTGTGAGGTGCGAGTACCTTCTAAATTCTTCTTATACGCACAGCAGAGCGCAGGCCTGCAGCCTCTGAAGCACCTTCCCCTGCAGGCCTACGAAACATTTCCATCTTTTTAAAACCGCTCTGTGGTTCCTGTGGTCCGGGACTGAGAAGAGGAGGAGGAGGAAGGGTGGTGGGGGGAGATGAGTGGGAGTGGGCTCCCCCCGGCTGCCTCTGCTCGCCCATAGGTGGCCTGCGCCGTCCGTCAGCTCGCTAGCCCTCGCTGATTGGCTGCAGGAGGCGGATCCGCAGGTGATCCTCCGCTCATAGAGGCGCGGGGCGGAGAGAAGGTGATCAATCTCCATCCATCTCCATTAGAAATCACCTTAACACTCTGACAGACAACGACAAACCCCCTGAAAGCAAATGAGTTTGATTTATTTGGCTGTAAAAACGGCCGGAACCGCACCGAGGACGCGGCAATGCTGGTGATGCTGCTCGGTTTGCGCACTGATATTTGTTTCTGAGAAAGTCTGCGGCCGCTGCGCGAGTTTTGTGCCCCGCAGACTTCCTGCAGCTGGATAATTTTTACTCGCCTCTTGCGGTTCGAGCGCTCGGGACAAGGGAAGGAGAACAACAAGGTAAAGTTTCCTGTTTTCTTTCGCTGATTTTACGCAAAATCTTCTGGTTTGTGTGCATTTTCGCTCCGAGGAACTCTGAGCCGCGGTTCATTCACGAAGTAACCCTATAGCTAAAGTACAAAGAAATATTAAAATGTATATTTAAAAAAAAAAAAACCTGAAACATTTTTCATGAATAACCCGTACCACGCACCTGATTTCAGTTTGTACCGCTGCACTTTTATATTGAATTTTTGCGCAGATATCAATTACTCAGCACTGTCAAGGACTTCATCTTGAAGCCGATAAATCGAGCCAACTTCCTCCTCCTTTATTTTATTTTTTATTTTTTAAATATTCTCATTCCTGTAAGTTTTTATTTATTTTTATTAAGAGCAATTGTCCATTAAAGACTCTGAAGCGCTCAGCAGATAATTGGAGAGGCGTGTTTTTTGGTTTTTGTTAATTTATTTTGCTGATAAGGACCCTTCTGAAACGCTCTCTCTCCCCGGAGGTCTAATCTAAATTCTAATTGAGTTCATTTGCACGGAGATCTCGCCTTTTCACTCCGGCCTGGCTGAGCTGGAAGCGCGTTTTTTAAAGAGCTGCTGGAATACGCGTTTGGCACGCAGAGGTTTGGTTTGGTCATTGTTAAAATAACCCCACTAATTTAATTCACACTCCCGGGTTGCGTGTTTTTAAGCTTCAGATCAGTCTGCACGCAAACTAGTTTCTCCACCCGGACTCTTTGTGTGTGTTTGTGTGTGTGTGTGTGTGTGTTTGTGTGAGTAAATGTTTTAGGAGCTGCTGAATATGTATATAATTTTGCTTATTTTCCTTCAGATTTGCGTCTTTACTTAACCAGCAGTACTTTACTAGAAACAAAAATAAAACCATGCAGGGTTTTATTTATTAATTTTCTCTGTCTCTCTCACTCTCTCTCTCTTTTGTTTTTCTTTTTTTAAGAGCCGAAAAGTAAAGAAGACCGAAGT